AATGTGCTGGGATGATAGGAGTGAGCCACTGCGCCCTGCCAGCCATGTTTTTCTGGTCTGCTATGCTTCTCACAGTCAGCAGATGATTTTGATGCACAATTCAACACATTTTTGCAATGTTTTAGTCAGTTCTGCTCATTACTGGCTATCCTAACTTCTCTTCATCAGTGACACTTTCTCTCCCCTCAGGAAAATGTTTAACCCATATGTATACTGCTCTTTTCTTCTTGGTATTATTCCCATAAACTTGGACTAACATGTCCCTGGTTTCATTTCCACTCTTGCCAAGTTTGACAAGAAATTTAATATTTGTTCTTTGCTCTAATTCAAGCTCTGACATTCTCGCGATGGCACACAAAAACATGCAATAACAATAAGGAATGCCACTTAGCAAGACACCACCACATATTGACACAAACACAGCTGTGAGACATTGACATACCAAGGTTGTGAAATCTTACCGAGTTGTTTGTACAGTGCTGCTAACATAAGTGTAAGGTGGTGAGTTCATGAACTTAATTGTCCGATCTTATACTAAGAGACGAGCGACCACCCTTCCTCCACTCCACAGCTGATTGCACCTTGAGTTCTTGGACCCAAGTTGATTCTCTTGAGACTCTGAACCTGAAGACAAATATTGATTGGAAGGTAGAGGGCACTGGAGATGCCATCATTGGTCCTTAGGAGCTGCCTAGAGGGTAAGCTGGGAAAGATAGTCTGCAGGGAGTGGCAAGTGAAGGGAGTAGCTATGAGAGGCCATGAGGTCCCATGAGAGTCAAGGAAGAAAGCCACATTGGCTCTCCTACTCTGATTCTGGGGCTTTGGCTTGCTTAGAATCCTGTCTCTGCCTGCAAGGACGATTGTCTGCTGGGTCTGCATCATACTCTGGTCCTAAGTCCAACTGAGAAACCATTGGTGGCTTTTAGCAGGCAACTGGCATGATCTGGTTTTTTTTTTTTTTTTTTTGAGTTGGAGTCTCAATCAGTTGCCCAGACTGGAGTGCAGTGGCCGCTCCCGGCCACTGCAGCCTCGACCTGCTGGGCTCCAGCGATCCTTCCGCCTCAGCCTTCCAAGTAACTGGAATTACAGGCGCTC